TAATAATAATATAAATACAAAAGATTATAACAATGCAAATAGTGCTGATAATAATAATTAAGTAATTAAAATAAAAATTACAAGAATAATAATGATTATTATTATAAAAAGAAGAATGATGGTTATCATAGCGAGAAAAATGATGATAAGGATGATGACCATAGTAAAGATAATGAAAATAAGGATAAAAAGCGATGATTATAATAATGATGTTGATGATAATGATGATTGTAAGATTATAATGATAGTTGTAATCATTATAATAATATGATAATATGATAATGACTGTAGTGATAATGGCTGTAGTGCTGATGAAAATGGTTGTAATGTTTATTACAATGACGATGATAATGATTATAATAAGCATTTTGTCGATAGTAAGGACTGTTATACTACTGATGTATACTTTGACTCTGATATTAAAGATAATTATAATGGTTATAATATGACTGAGGACACTAATTATAATAATGACAGTTTTAAAACTCATTGTTATTATTACTATTATTACTATTATTACTATTATTCTTAGTATTGTTATAATAATTTTTCATAGTATTATTATAGTTGTTATTAATATATTGTTATTATTGTGATAGCAATAATTATTATTGGTATGGTTAAAATTGTTATTTATATTTCATAGTTATTATTATTACGGTTGCAATTATAATTATTGTAGTTTTTTTAAATTTATAATTATAAAATTATGAATTGTGATGATAATTATAGTATCAATTATAGGAATAATATAAATTATAGCTACTTTAATGTTGATAGGAAAAGTACTTGTATAATTAAAAATATGTTAATTTTGATAATGAAAGTGATTATTGGCTTATAAATGATAATACTTAGCATATTAACCATCGTTACTCTCAGAATAGTAATGACAATCATTAAAACGTTTATGATGATATCTTCTTATGTTGGCAATGATAATAACTGAATCGGTTACGATGTCAATTATTATATTAATAATAATTGTTAAGTTAATGATAAAGGTTTTTATAGTTATAATATAGTAGTTTTGATGAAGACCTTAGTAGTAACAGTATTTTTATTAATGTAGATACTTTTGATGTTATAATAAATAAACGGTAAACAGTGACTTTTGTGATAAAGATGATAACAAAAAACTCTATTATCTAAATAAATTAAGTGATGATAATAGAAATTCTTATTACTGCTGTTGTGATAACCTCACTATAATTTTTATTATTAATTAAAGTTATCGTTATTTTCACAATTATACTGATACAAAGAATAATAGTCATAATTATAGTAATAATAATTTTAAGGACACCAATGGTGTGAGAACTTATTCTCATTAAAGTTTGTAGAACTACTTACAATAATAAATACAGCAGCGTTGTGACTTCTTTAAAAAAAGCATCATTAGCCTTATTTACTGCGATTAAAATTATTCTAACATACGTTTTTTTAAAGATAAATCTAGTGCCTTATACTGCGACAAAAAACCTTACTGTACGATACCTGAGTCCGAAAAAAAATACAATTACGTCACATTACAACACATTATGTTCTAAAGGATATAAGCACAAAGAAGCTTTACGTTTTGCTTGATAGCTTTAATGCATGCTGGCATGTTAATTTATTTAGCGAGAATAATCTAAAGGCTGAAAAATCTAAAGGCTCGTTTTTTTGGATAAGAGCAAACCACTCTTCCCAGACTCTGTCGTCACTCTGACCCTTATGCATGCTGGACAATCCCAGAAATATTTCTAAAGGCCTGATACAAACTTGGTTAAGAGAAGACATTTGTCTCTTAGACAACTAGTACAGATTTCATAGAAGGCGAGTTTTGGTGATGAGTGTGGCCAAGATTTTTTAGTTGTTTAAGAAAGTATGAAAGCACTTATACAAGACAAGGAGCGTGTACGTGCTGGTGACTCTTAACGTCAAAAATACTTTCAACATGGACAAGTTATCTGGCACATTGAGGGCTTTGAGGTGACAGAAGATGCTACAATACTTCAGAAAAATACTTCACAGCTACCTTCAGGATCAAATACTCTGGTACAACACCAAGGACGAACGAGGAGAGAGGTGCCTTGCGGCAGCGGTTGTGCAAGGCTTTGCCCTTGTTCCTGACCCTCAGAACTTAGAGTATGACTAAGTCTTACACCATACAATGCCTTCGAAAAACAAGTTGACAGAATTTGCTGAAGACGTTATATTGCACGTCTTCACACGTTTTTACAAAAAAAAAAAAAAAAAAAAAAAACTGTTATGGGCTTCTATAAAGTCATTTTAAGACCGATATTGTAACATCTTTAACCAGTTTAAAACATTAATACAACACTTATACAACAAACTAAACAGTTCCATTAGAATTTGCTATCTTCCAAGTAGATAATCCAATACCTTGCAAAATTACATGAAATTTTGTAGCATTTCAGGCTCTAAGTTATTATTTTGGGGGGACAAAATCTACGAGTTTGCAAGCCCGTAATACTCGCTCACCATTATATTACAATTAAAAATTATTTGAAGTATTTTCGACCTCCATAAAAGGATTCATTAATGTTTTTATTATTTCTTCACCTCATACGTAATTTGAAAGTAGAACGGTAAATCTGTGATAAAGTCCATATTCTTTCTTATTATTTATTCCTAAGTAAATTTTTAAGCAACTCTGTAAAATATTTATTTGCACTACTTATAATACTTAAATTTTGAACTAGAACTACGCTAGGGTAAAAACGCCTTTACCTTGTTACTTTACGGATGTACAAATATAAAGTTATCGTATGATTTAATATTTCCTATTAGATTTATTATTTATTAATATTAAAGACTAAGTCATTGTACCACTGTGTTACTTAATTTAGAATTTATTCAAAATTAATAAATTAAAGTAATTACTGTTTTGAATTATTTAATGGTAAACAATAGCTACATACCTTATGAGCTTCACCGACAATACCAGCTTCATCAGTATCCAAGATTGCTGAAACACTTCCAAACATTTGAAGTATAAATGGTTTTCTGTTCATTAAATAAAACTGCTTCACTGCGTATTCTATAGTTGTTGTAACAAGTTTGTTTGTTTGGTGTGTTGAATAGAGCTGGAGAAGGCAAGGCATTATAAGAAAGTATCCATTCGTTGAAAAAATATTTTTAAAACTGTGAGCTGCATTAATATAGGTTGCAATAACATAGCGCAGTATGCAAGAATCTTCACTATGTATTATTAAAGCACCGTTTAAGACATTTAGGAATAGATGTATATCTCCAGAATAGGCAAAATTGCCTGCCATTGCTTCAAACATGCGAGCTATCAATCGAACCCACATGAACTTGTGCAAGACATCTAGAGCAAGAAGTTGCTGCAAAAATTTATGTCTGTATTTTAGTACTTAACAAAAGTTTTTGATACAATAAAAACAGTATGCTGCACACTTTGTTTATTAAGTACATGATAGCAGCTTAACACATTTTTTGCATCATCTACCATGATGTTACACAATTAAGTACATGTTTACAAACTAATAGGAATTATACAGTATTCTAAAATTTGTTTTCATACAAGTTTTTCTACAAAATAATCTCTTATAAAATATATTAATCTTTTTTTACAAGCTCGGTAAAATAATAGTTATTATGTTTATGTCATATAAAAGTTAGGGCAAACATATTCATAACATAACTGTGAAATATAATACCCATGTTTATTCAAAACCAACAAAAAATATAAGGAACTCAATAGTCAAATCTTATGTGATCGAAGGCTTAAATCAACAGCTTCTATGGATCATTAATGGTCTACAACAATAAACTGGCTGCATAAAAAATAAATAGTTACTTAGTAAGAAAGTGTATTACTGTTCTAATCTATCTATGCACTATTCTAATAACATAGTTGCAACCCACAAAAAGATCAGTGTAGAGCAGTGGTACTTTTGCTCACTATTACATGACCTTCTGGTTAAGGATTTTCTGTATCTTTTACACTTTTTACGCTCTTTTGTATATTGTTTACATAGTTTTTTCAAAAATTCTTTAAAAAAAATGTATTTTATACTGTTCAATGGCTTTTATTATTTTCAGACTTTACGTCTCTTTGTCTAACTTTCTCATGTCTTTTTGATAACCTTCGCATTTTTTTGAAATCTTACAATATTAATTTTCACCATCTGTTAACTCTGTCTTACATTACAGTTTAATTTTTATGCATAGAAATGTATTCGTAATCAAACTTTTTGTCTGATAATACACATACAAGTCATCCTGCGTAGTTTAGCAGTCTTTGCAACTGCTCTAAATAAAAAAAGGCATTGACTTGCTACTACAACATCTATTAATGTCATATAAGGAAATAAAAGCAATTCTTATGTTTTAATTTTGGTACCAATTTATGTACTATTATTTTTCTTGAGCCCAAAGTACACAGATATTTACTTTCTTTAAAATAAACAAATCAACTATTGCATAGTATAGAATATATATAACTTATCCTTGTGAGGAGCTTAGAATAGCAGCACTTAAAATTTGGTTAAAAGGTTCTCAAGGTTTTTTTTAACAAGAATCGTCTTAGCACAAGGAAGCTTCGTATTAATATAAAGTAGTTTAAAAAAGACATAGAAATTTTTAATAACTCTAGTCCAAAAAAAAAAACAAAAATGATTTTATAATACGTTTCTTCGGTTGTAAGATTCATAACAGTTTTACTGGTAAAAAAAGTAAACTGATTTGTCATCTCATGAATAAAATGATTTCTGACGTCAAATTGTAAGCTGATTTTTCTCACTTAAAAATTTCATCTTTCCATTAATAAATTTTGAAATTGTTTTGAGCATGCATTTAACGACAATCGCGATATAATGATTTACAGGTATATCTGCATAACATAAAAAAAAATAATTAAGGTACTTCGCGAACTAAGTTTATTGAGTGCTTAAAAAATACAAATGACGAGCACAGAAGACTGTTATTTTCATTTGTTAAAAATACGTGTATTAAGATATTTACAGTTAAAGATACAAGGTAAAATCTGTTCACAGATTAAATATTATGCACACTGAGTCAATAGTGCACGAATATATGATGGCTATGGTAACAAATTATTTGCCAATCAACTATAAAATAAGCTTTAAAATAAAACAGTAGTATCCTATTTTTGTGGGACTAAAACGTGGTTACTTGTTGAAAACCGAAACCTAAACCTTTGTTAAATTCGCAAAAGTCCAGACTATCATGCGTTAATAGAGCTAAGGTAATGACGAACTTGCTAGATATGGACAACGTAAGTGTAAGTATACCTGTTTAATAAGTTGCTAGGCATATCCTTAGATATTTAGTGGTAGACCGTTTTATGTGTGGAAATGATGCAAGTCAGACTGTAAACAAAAAAATTGATGCTATTCATGGCCCAGCTACCAGCTTCCTACTATGTACACTGTCGTACGCATGATGCACAACTCCATTAAGTGTGTGATCTCTTATTTCCAAAGATTAATAGATTCTGCTCCACTACCATTTACCTTTAACCACCGCAAAAGCATAACATACTTAACTAAGTAACTATTCATTGCACAATAGCACTTCATGAATACTTTAAGTGATTCAAGGCATCATTTTCAAACTACAGTTTGTACGCTATCACTAACGACAATTTTGTCTAGAAGTATTTATAGAAATAGCAGAAGACTGTATCCAAATAAGTGCTTATGCACGATGCCATCTTAAATAAAAATTACCCTAGAAATGACGAGTTTTTCTTGCCATGTAAGTTGGTGTGCTTGCTTTTTAATCCAGCACAAAGTTTTGCCTTACGACTTTGACTTGTCACCTTAGACGTTACCGTGCGATTTTCGTACTCAAATAACCTTCTCATGTAGTGATTGTTACTATATTAAACCATATAAAAATAACAGTATCCTCTTTTATGCACTCGTTTATGAGGGACATACTTATTCTATTAGTTCTTTCTCATTACACTTTGAATTGTAACCTAACATTTGAGACGTAAATTAATCTACTTATACAAATTCATCTTCAATCATCGGTTGAATTAATTTATTCTCATATACTAATACTAAATTGTATGATTTTTATTAAATCTCATTAAAATATTCTCAACTTCAAACCACACAGACAATTTTTTAGTGAAGACAATGTCGTGACCAAAGGAAGATGGAAAAAAACATAGCTAATTTGGTAAATTTAACAATTTTATAATTTTTTAAAAGTTAGTGCATAAGCACACGATCAGTGAGAGCTCATCTAGAAGTCAGAACTAAAGATTAAAAAATGTCGAATGCTGGTCTGTACAGTAGATGCAGTCTGTAACAATCGTTATTACGATATATACTAAGACTGATGTTAAGACCAACGGAACGTTGCTTAAACCAACACTTGACGTTTTTGGAGTTCTTATTCTTACTCCTAGATTAGCTTCTACTGATTTTATGCTTATGCACTGACTTTGAATAAATCATACAAATAACTGGGAGGAGAACTACATTTTTAAAAAACAACGTAATCGAACCCCTTTATTTATCTTTGTGTTTATTATAAAAAAATTAGTACCGTTATAAGTTGTCACACGACGTAGATAAAGGAAGCAGCAGCTTTCAACTTTTACCAGGCCAGTGATACCTAGATGTCCTTAGGAACACTTTCCTAGTGTTATGCACGGATATCATCCATTGAGAACTCTCTAAGATGCACTCAAAGAATTACTGACAGAAAATTAGTAAAATAAAAGGACCTGTTAAAACGAATAATAAAATAAACAAAACGACTACGCACAGGTTGTGTGTGTGTGTGTGTGCACGCGTGTGTGTGTCTGTGTGTAAGTATTCACATCAAGCACAACAGCTCGACACGATCATGACGCCGTTTAGGGAGACTCATGCAGGTTAACAAAGTGTTTATCCAAGATCAACTTTCTGTGGTACTTGTTTTTAAAGCAGCACAAAAAAATAGAACAAAAAAAGCAACTGGAATAGTCACAGTCAATGCAAGAGAGAAAAACTCACAGCAGCAGTAACAATAACAAAAATAACAGAAGATCACTTCACGCGTGATTGCAGGTCTGAGATAGTGTGCATTCCATTCAGCTTTTCTTCCTATTCCTCTTTTTCTCCTTCTGTGTTGTGCTATTTTCTTAACTCCTTTTCCCTAATTCTAATAGACTACCTAAAGTGAGCCAATGGTGCTTTACCGTTACACTCTTTGCCACAATATTGAGTGCAGTGGTATTTGACTCTACCTTTTTAGGTGCTTAACTGGAAGAGATGCGGGGAAGTTTTTCGTGAGGTATAAAGGAACCTGTAGTTGCAGTTCGTAAGTTACTGTTTATTTGAAAAAGGGAAACAAACAAAAAAAAAGAAAAAAAGAGCAAGGATGGATGTTTATGAAAAAAAAACTTTAAAAAATAAAAACAATCGGTAGGAAAAGCTTGGGTACCCAAATATAAAGTAATTCTTATATTAAATTCTTCAGCAGACAATATTTTAACATAAATACACCTTCTGTAAAACAATATTGATTTAAAAAGTAGTTAAATTATCGTTGAAATAAGCAAATAAACGGACATAAGGTGCGGTTTGACTAAATATTCTAATATTTCATAAACGAAGAATCATAAAAAATATATTTCGTAGTTAACAAAAATTTAAAACAAATTAATGACAAGATGTACTGATGACATCCCTAACATTACGCTCCCATATGTCACATACTATTGTGCACTTACTCCTAGTTCCTATTTAATAACCACAGTATATTTTCATCTGAAAAGCTACGAAAAATCATTCTATTGTACCGCTTTATCTTGGGTAGAGTAACATAACATACCAGTTAATGTCATTTTAGAAAATTTCTTACACATGAAATATTTCGAACAGATATTAATAAATCGTAAAACGTATGATTGAAATAGCATGAGAAATAACGACAAAAAAGGCGCAGATTGTTTAACTATACCTTTTTTTATGCATTTGATTTTGAAAAGCTCTTAACTCTTAACTGGAACTTTAACGATTAATCACATAAATGTGCAATTAGGAGAAAATAATCTGTATACATCTCCTAATTTTTTTTGTATACTAGATTATTTTGAACAATCGACCTTTTTAATTTTGTAATAGATCTATAAGTCAATTTTTAACTAAAACAAGAAAGAAAAGGTCAAGTATGCATAAGATCGCATATGTCAGTATATATATACTCCCATAATAATACATCTTAACAAAACTGAAAGGTTATTTAGTTTTCACCGTTGAATTAATATTTTAAAAGGAATTTTTAAAGCTCTTATACACGAGCAATAAAAGAAATTCTTCCTAAAGAATCTACAGCCTTGAAAAGTTCTGAAATCAAA